CTTTTCCTTTTCCTTAACCCTACTGCCAAGCATGAAGTAGACACTCAATGGCACGAATGAATAAATGAGAGAGAGGGAGAAACAGGACCCTCTGGTCCTCTCTTGTCTCTGGGGCTGGCTTTTTTCTTTCTTTCTTTCTTTTTTTTGGTAACCACTTTATTGAGATATAATCACATACCATAGAATTCACCTATTTAACTTATATAATTCAGTAGCTTTTAGTGTATTCAGAGTTGTGCATCTGTCATCACAATCAGTTTTAGAACATTTTCGTTACACCAGAAAGAAACCCTGAACTTCTTAGCTACCAATCCCTCCGTTCCCCCTAGCCCTAGGCAACCACTAATCTACTTTCTGTCTCTATAGATTTGCCTGTGCTGGACATTTCATATGAATGGAATCATACAATATGTGGTCCTTTGTGACTGGCTTCTTTCACTTAGCATAATGTTTTCAGGGTTCATCCACGTTACAGCATGTATTAGTACTTCATTCCTTTTTATTGCTGAATAACATTCCATTGTATGGACATACCACATTTTATTCATCCATTCATCAGTTAATGGACATTTGGGTTCTTTCCACTTTTTGGCTAGTATGGATAATGCTTCTGTAAGCATTTTATAAGTTTTTGTGTGGATATGTTTTCATTTCTCTTGGGTGGACACCTAGGAGTGGGATTGCTCGGTCATGTGATAACTCTTGTCTCTCCCTCCTGGGACTGCCAGACTGTTTTCCAAGATGGGGGCACCATTTTGCATTCCTATAGCATTTTCAGTGGACGTACTACCTGTTGTCTTATCTTTAATATAAATGAGGGCTCTAGAAAAAGTTTTTAAGAGCCCTGGAGAGCTACTTGATGCTTCTTAAGACATTTGTCGCTGCCACCCAGATCTGCCAGAAGGGCACTGGGTTTGCTGTGGGAAATGTCTGGGGGCAGCTTCTTTCTTCTTTTATCTCCTCTGATGAACTCGGTCTTCAGGCCTGTGCCAGGCCTCCCACCTCAAATCTCCTTGCTTGACCCCAGGCCAGCATGCCTGGCCAGGCCCAGGCTCCTGTCCTCTCTGGACTAGCCATTGTTAGCTCTGCTTGACTGACTGATGCAGCCACTCTCAGGATTGTATGCACAATCCTAAAAGGTTTATGGGGGCCGGCCCCGTGGCGTAGCAGTTAGGTGCGCCTGCTCCGCTGCTGGCGGCCCAGGTTTGGATCCCGGGCGCACACCGACACATGGCTTATCAGGTCATGCTGTGGTGGCATCCCATATAAAGTAGAGGAAGGTGGGCATGGATGTTAGCTCAGGGCTGGTCTTCCTCAGCAAAAAGAGGAGGATTGGCATGGATGTTAGCTCAGGGCTGTCCTTCCTCAGACACACGCAAACACACTAAATAAATAAATAAATAAATTTAAAAGGTTTACAGGCTTTTCTGTGAGCCTTGGTCAGTGGGACAGCTGCCCTGTCCAGCTACAGGAGAGTCATGTCAGTTTTGATCTTTCTTCTTTCTTCCTGTCCTTTTCTTTAAGAGGAGCCAAATGCCCTAGAAGGAAGGGAGAAATATAACCCTCATCTACCAACATAAGATGAAGGCGGCACTTGAAAAGCTCGGCCTTTCAGAGGGACACCTGCTCCCATTGCACAGCTCCTCTTCACTGAGAGTGACTTCCCAAACATTTCACATGTGTCTAAAGGTCTCTCTTTCCTCTGCTGCTATAGAGAGTCTAATCATGTGAGCCACAGGCTAACTCCCTTGAACCTTAATCCTTTTTAGAAATTCCCGCACCAGCGTAGAAGCAGGATTTGGGAGGAATCTTGAAGCTGATTGGGAAGGCCACACACAAACACAAGAGAAGGAGGAATCTCCAGGTTGGATCTCTGACCTTCAAGATGGGTGGGAAAACCTGCTCCTGGAATAATGATGATAGTAGCTCACATTCGTTGCCAGGCGATGTGCTGAGGCCTTTTCAGGCATTGTCTCATTTAATGCAACTCACCTGTTGTCATCCTGTGACAAAATGAGGAAACTGAGGCCAGAGGTGTGATTTTCCCAAAGTCAGATAGCTAATAAGTGAAGAAGCTGGCATTCCTGGGATAAAAATGCACGTGCCGCTCACAATTGTGTATGTGGCCTGGCCAGATGGTAGGTGCTTGATAAATGTTTACGTGAGTGAATAAAATAGCAGATGCAGTGGAAGAATGTGCCCAAGGAGGAGGGGTAGGAATGAGGGCTGGGTGTCTTCCCAGCCCCTGGAGAGGACTGAGCACCTCCTGTTAGTGGCCGGAGCTGATGGACTTGCCAGGGCCTGTCTTTCTCATTGAGAAAGTTACCCAGGGTGTGACACTATTTCACCGGAAGAAGCCTAGAATTGACTGTTCTATCATCCCAGGGGAGGAGGACATACTTTCCTTATCTATCATTCTGCTAGTCGGGGTCCTAGGGGTCCTGGTGGGTAATAACACCTGTGAAAGTGTACCCTGCCCTTCCCCTCTCCCAGGATCACACAGGTGAGGCCAGGTTGGGAGGAAGTATGGGAGGAGTGATGTATAGTTCAGGTTACTTTGGGAAACTGCCCAGCTACTTGTAAGTGTGGGCCAGACGCTGGAGCGCCATATTGAAGGAGCTGCTGCACCATATGTGGGAAAAGGGGAGAACACGTCTGCTCCTTGGATTTCTCCCCGAGGCTGCCATTGTTCTTGGGGCTTGTCTCCAGAGGTGCCCATTCATGGTTCCAAATTTCCAGTTCTTGGGAGAGGAAAAATGCTTAGTGTAGTCTCAGTCAAGCATCTGCTTAGATCTGTCATGGCCAGCAGGCCAGGTCCTGTGGTTCAGACATGGCCACCAAGAGCCCCTCCACCCCTGTTACTGGGGAGCATATCAAGAGAAGGGAGCACTGGGCAGCCGCCTTCAGGGGTCTGCTACATGGGTGTGAAAAGGCTTTGTTGGGACACTGCCCTTTCACTTGTTGGGAGAGTGTTTGATGGGGCTGAATTGTGTTTGAAAATGTTCAGAGAGAGCTAACTCCTTTAGGGTCTTCATGGTCCTGGAGGAACAAGATGGAAAGCGCAAGAGCAGGCTTTTTTCCCCATCACAGGAAGGTAAAAAGGTATGGGAGGAATGAAGCAAACCTGGGTTGGGGTGAAGGTTGTTACAAGATCTTTGTGATGATTAAATGACACGCGAGACGTGTAAAACACTTATCTTGTGCCTGGTATATCCTATCCCCACAATGACTATGTTGTAATAATAACAGTTACAACAACTTCATAGTTTTCATATGTGGTTTTTAAACTTTGAACTACTTTTTGCCATGTGACTTACACAGAATTAGCTGAAGGCAGAATTCTAAATGACTCTTAACTGGCAGGACAGCCGAAGAACACCGTGTGTGCCATTGGGCGTGGCGATCTCCTTTCACCATGCGTGGGTAGAAAGCTTTATCATTGACTGAAGAAAGGAGCTCTTGCATAAGATGTTTCCTTAATTCATTTGCTCTTCTCTTGGCTGCTTTTTCTGACTTTCTGGTTGTTGTCTTTTTTAAGTGGTTTCCCTGTGTCACCTGCCTGAGGCTGGGCAGCTGTGGTGCTGTCTGTGTGCTCTGAGCTCACACAGGCAGCCTTGTGGAGCCCAGTTCCCAAGTCTTCTCCCGGGGGCCTTCTCCAGTTGGGTATCCCACTTTTGAGATTGTGTAGTGGTTGCGGGCCCTTATGGGATACTTTTTCCCCGAAGTAGGGGGCCCTGATCTTGTTGATCCCAAGAGATATTGGGAAAGAGCACTAAGTGAGGATTCCAGAGTCTTGGCCTCTAGTCCCAGCTGTGTCACCTATATGGCCTTAGTTTCTTCATGACATTGTTGGGAGGATTCTGGTCAGGATGAGAGCACGTGTGTGCAAGGGCTTGTGAACTGCTATGTGTAAGGATGGAAGTGTTGATGCTGTTACTGTGCTTACTAACCTGGGGCCAGGGGAGTTGGTACCATGGGTCTACCCATGGTAGTGACCCTGAGGGGGCCGTTTGATTGGGGCTTCCCAAAAGAATTGCAGTCTGCCATTGTATGTTGAAATGCATCCATCAGTCTACTCATCTGTCCGGCCATCCGTCCATCCATCCATCCATCCAACCATCCATCCATCCATCCATCCACCGGTTATTTATTGAGCTCTTATTATATGCTAGGCAGCGTTCAAGGCACTGGGTGAATAAAACATAAAAAATTCCAGTCTTCGTTGAGCTTATGTTCTAGTGGGGAGACTGAAAATAAACAAAATGAGTAAATAAAATATGAAGCACCTTTGCACCAACAGACTTGTGCTCTGGGATCCAGTGGTTGGCATCCTGAAGCAAGTGTCATCCTCTCTCTCACACCTTGTTTCTACGCTGGTGTGTGTCAGTCTGCTTCCCACCCTACACTGGGAACACCGTGAGGGCAGAGATTGACTTGGGTTGGCCACATTGCTCTGGTACCTAGTTTAGTGGCAGACGCCTGGAAGGCACACAATGTGGTGATCAAACCATGGTCAACCATACAAAGAGGGTGGAAGTGAAAAGTCCCATAGGCACCAGTTTCCTGGGTATCTTTCCTGGAATTAGTCTGTATGTAGTATGTAAATAAATGACACATATGTTTAAAGGCCTTTTCACCTAACAGTAGTATCTTGAAGGTCATTTCCTTTTAGAGCTTCCTTATTTTTTTAAAGAGCTCTATTCCATTGTATAGTGACGCTTATGTCATTGTTCACATTCTTTTGCTGTGAAGAACACCGCGTGGAGAACAACGTTGTTCATGTGTCATTCGCACATTTGCAAGTCCTACAGGATAATTCGTAGAAGTGGGATTGCTGACTCAGGCATGCCATTCGGTATTGATTTGTAAAGTGAGGGCAGAAAAATGAGGCCCAAGAGTAGACTAATGACTACATGTAGTGGGCAAGTCACGGGTCCCTGTGAGTGTTCTGCTCAGAGGCCTTATGGCATCTGATATCACTTCTTTTGTTTCTGCACCAGGCTGGCGAGTCCACGTTCAACCGTGCTAAGCTCCTCAACGTGGGCTTTCAAGAGGCCTTGAAGGACTACGACTACAACTGCTTCGTGTTTAGCGACGTGGACCTCATTCCAATGAACGACCATAACGCCTACAGGTGTTTTTCGCAGCCTCGGCACATTTCTGTAGCGATGGATAAGTTTGGATTTAGGTAAGAGATGTTCACCAGAATCTGCAGAAAACATGTTTGTCTCTTACATGACGACTAGGAAATGCGGTTCTTCCAGCCCAGGAGTGCCTCCTTAGGCTCTGGAGGAGAATGCCGCCTCTGAGAACTGGGTGCTCTTTAAGCCCAGAGTCAGTTATTATTTGAGGAGGAAGTTGGAGTCCAGAAACGCCTCTACTTCTGCATGTCCAGGCGAGAAGAGTTTTTAGATTTGGGATGGCTCTCCTCTTTAGGCTCCAAACAGATGCTGGATTTCCTCACCTTGTTTTCTCTCCCCTTCCCCACCCAGTTTGGGAAGCAGGTTGGAATCATTTTCCTCCAGTAGACTCTTGGGCTCGGAGACCTTGGCAGGTGTTCCTTGGCACTTTAAGAAGGAACAGGATTCTGTTACCAGCAGAGCACAGGCTTCTGCTTGAATGTTGGGGCCCAAACTTTTCCACCAAAATGGGACGAGTGAGGAGGCCAGCTGGTGCCTGTCCCCAGGGGCAGCGGAATAATCCAAAGCATATTGTCGTAGGTGGAAAATAGCCTTGTAGTCCATTTTTTTATCTTAAAAAAAAACTTGCATTTTGTTCCATAATGTATCTGTTTGTATTAACATAAAATTGTTTTAAATTACTTATCAGTTGAGTGACCTGACCTTTCCCTCCGTCCTTAGAGGGAGTCACCTGAAGCTCCGGGAAACTACCCTGTGTCCTGGGCATCCCGGCTCAGGCTGTCCCACAGTGTGGTGGCCCGTGCCGGCCAGCAGTCCTTTGGTGTAAATACAACTGCTTTCTTTCAGACCCGTTTTAGTCTCATAATTTCTTTCTCTCTTCCCTTGCTGGGAGCCTGAAGACTGAGATGAATATAGGGATGCTGTGAAGTCCTTCCCCCAGATCAGTGGTACTCAGGCCCTGAACTTGCTGTCTTAAAGGGGAAATTTGACTGTAAACATCGCTCTGTGCCCTCCTGTCTTCCCTCCTCCCTGTTTGTGTATCTTCTTCTCTTTGAGGTACACTGGCCCATGCCCTGACCTCTCTTCATTCCTCCCTTGGAGCACGGTGGTGATCGCCTAATTCTCCACCGCAGCACCATGTCTGTTTTACCCAGAACCAGTTACACTTTGGGGACGGGGCATGTAGGTAAGAGAAAGAGCAGAGATGGCAAAACCAGATCTTGTCCACTTGGTATGTACTTGCCCTTGAATGGCTGAGAGTCAATTTCTGTAAAAACACTGATTATGAAGAAACCTTATTGGCCTGGCCACCTCTGGTTCAAACCCTCACATCACAAGCGCAGACTGTAGTGTGAGGTACACCAAAAGGCGCCTAAGTGGTGACGCCTAATCACAGATAGATTACCTTTGGTTCATTGAAGCAGGCCGCCAGGGATCTTTGCTTATGGATACCTGCTGTCAGAATTCCTGAATGAATTTGAAAATAATAATTGCATCTTTGTTTCATATGTTCTGTATGGTTTGGCTGACTTCCCCCTCGAAGTCTGAGTTAGAGTTTTCCTTAATTTGTGTGATGGGTTTTGATCGCTTTGGATTCCGTTGAGAGCCCAAGTGTGGTTTAGAGCTATACACAACATCGTCACAAAACCACAGCCTTTAAAGGACCCAGAGGAAGGCCTTTGCCTGGCCTCCGAGCACACCCTGATTTTTAACATTTCTCCTCAGTGCTTCCTCTGCATCCCTTGGGAGTCCACAATTCATAACCATTGAAATATTGAAATAAAGAAAGGTTTGGAGGGATGAGAGCCCAGATGCCCTACTGCTTGAAAATGTGTCCAAATAGATTCACCATTGTACATTTTGCTAAGTCAGGATGTGTTAGAAATTTCCAAGAAAATTTTATTTTAGCAAATTTTCAGAAATGCTGTCTTGACTATTGGGGTCAGTGTTCAAGCCAGTATACCTTTGGAGGAATGAAAGCTAGACTAGTAGATGGGACAGGGGTGGGGAGGGAGGGAATGACAGGGTGGGCACAGAGAGACTTGAAAACAATGTGGGTTTCCAGGAGCTGCTGGATAAGGGTTTCATGTGCAGGAGCAGGACACAGCGGGAGCAGATTCCTGAGCAGTGCAGAGAACTGGCTTATGCCCTTGTCACTGATTTTCTAGATAACCACAGAAGCAACACAGTATTCTTAGAGAGATGAAGATTCTCCTTTTTGATGTCTGTATCTTCTCTAAGATAATCTGAGTCTGATATAAAAACCAAGCAAAGAAAGAAAACTCTCATAAATCTCCAATTAAAAAGTTGTGTAGAATAAAAATAACTTTTAGAAGTGTTTATGTTTTGAACAAGCTTTATTTTGAAAAATCAAAACCTGCTAACCCCTGGTCCTCTGTGTGTGTTTTTTCACCAGCCTCCCTTACGTTCAGTATTTTGGAGGTGTCTCTGCTCTAAGTAAACAACAGTTTCTCACCATCAATGGATTTCCTAATAACTACTGGGGCTGGGGAGGTGAAGACGACGACATTTTTAACAGGTAACGGTCACAACTTAGATCTCCTCCTTCCCTGTCTCCCTCCCCTTCCAGTTTTCCAATCAGTGCTTGGTTATTCTGCAAGGATTGCCCCTCAGGAGGGGTGCAGCCCCCACTCACCCAGATTCTTAGGTGTGCCCTGCTATAGGTCTGAACATGGCTTTAGGAAAATTAGCGTCTGTGATGTTTGCATTAGCCTTGGAAAATGTAAGATGAGAACCAAGTGAAGGGGTGAGGTGACAGTGACATATACCACCTGTCATTTTGTCTTGAAGGAGTGAACGTGTGTCCGTTGCAAAAATTCGGCATCTCATTGTGGTCCTGTTTGAGTGTAAAACAGGTTTCTTGGGGCAGAATCCTAAGTCTTTACAGAGTCTTTGTGCTATTTTTTATTTTGGAGTATTTTTAACATACACAAAAGAGGACAGAGTAGTATGAAGCTCTGCGGCCCCACCTGGCCCCAACAACCATCATTCCACGGCCAGCCGCCCATCCACACCCTGTGGCTCCTCGTGAGCTGGTAAACCTTCATCATGTGGGTTTTCATTAAAGACGGTAAAAAACCATCTGTCGGGGGTATTTGAAACCACATTCTGCCCAGTACTCCTGGCAGTGGAGGCTTCCACCCTGCCAGCCACAGGTGAGAGGCACCTTCTCCCTCTGGGAGCCAGTCCGAACTTGTCACTGAGTTAGTTATCAGAACACACCCCAATGCCTTCCCAGATTGGAGTGTGTTAATTTAATCAAGTAAGAGAAAGTGTCTGTCAGAGCAGCACCCCAGTCATGCAAGGTTAGCTTTGTGTGAGAACTTGGCATAGACCCAAGTCTTTAATGCAAGCCTTGAAGAAAACTTGAGTTTTATGGGTATGCGGGTTGGTTATCCAGCGTCTACTTATTGAGCATCTGCTGCATGCAGAGCACTGCACCAGGCAGGCCCAATGGGGAGGACATTGAAGCCCTGGACAGGGGTCCAGACAGAAAGAACCTTGCTTCCATGGCACCACAGCTGGGCCAACATTGGGCCCATATCATGGTGTCCAGGGCTGATGTGACATCACAAACCTGAATGTTCAGAAAGGTTGTGGGGAGGGAGCGCTGAGGATGGATACCCGAAGGCAGAGGGACTAGAAGGATGAGTGGTTTTTGGAGCGGCTCTCTTGAAAGATAAAGGACCTAACCCTCACTCTGCAGCTACGCATTGTGTGCCAGGCACCAGATCAGCACTGGGGGTGGGGGGTGGGGGATGAGGGGTGAGGCTGGAGACCTTTAAGTCGCCCAGGACCAGCCAGTGCTGCCTCTTAACTGTTGTATTCCTGTTGTCAAGGCTTTAGTTTTGGGCCTCATTCCTGCCCCCGAGACCTACACAGAATCTTCCACCCTGTTCTGGCTGGCTCTAGTCTTGTTCCCTGCTCTCCATTCTTACACTGCTTGTCAGAGAGACTTCCCGTTGGCCAAACACCTTTGGGAAACACTGCATATTATATCCCTTTCAGACACCAGCACTGTTGGGTGGGATGCTAAAAGCTCTGAGAAGGCCTCCATGAGGTAGCCTTTGCCCTTCTTCCTAGCCTCATCTCCGGCCACTTCCTACCCCAGACCCTCTTCATCATCCCCGGAAGCTTGTGTTGCTCCCTGAGGGAGCTGTGCTTGCTCTCGCCTCCCTGCCTTTGCCTGTGCAGTCCTGCTCCCCGAATGCTCTGGCAGACACCCATTCATCTTCATGACTCGGCTGCCTGGTCTTGCTCAGGTAGAGGTAGTTGTTTCCCGCTCTGTGCCCCACAACCCCAGCTTCCCCTCCTCACCTCCATCCTGGCACTGATGGCTCAGTGTTCTAAGCTTCCACACTGTAAGTTCTGTGAGGGCAGGCACCCCAGAGCCTGGCACAGAATAGTCACCAACACAGACTGCAGAGCCAGTGGTAGAAGGAACTGGGGGGGACAGAGTTCAAACCAGTGCCATGCTGGGCTGGGGTTGGGGCCGAGTGAGACCAGTAAGCAGGATGGTGGATGGGCACAGTCTTGCAGCTGGGGCCGGGGGACTCAAGCCTATGGCAGCCCTGCAATGATGACTGTCGCTTTGCTCCTTGCAGATTAGCTTTTAAAGGCATGTCTATATCTCGCCCAAATGCTGTGGTCGGGAAGTGCCGGATGATCCGCCACTCAAGAGACAAGAAAAATGAACCCAATCCTCAGAGGTGCGTCCTGTGTTCATTTACATTCCTTCTTCCTCCTTTAGGATGGGGCGGGCTGCAGGAATGAGGCTCTGGAGAGGGCTCCAGGCCTGGGTGGGTTAGGGAGGGTTCAGTCCATGGGGCAGGGAGGAGTAGGAGGTGGGGGGGAGGGGGCAATAAAGTACAAACGTTTAAGGTTTATTTGCTTTTTCTTTTTTTTTTTTTAAACAGTTTTATTTATTTACTTATTTTTTTTTGTGAGGAAGATCAGCCCTGAGCTAACATCCATGCCAATCCTCCTCTTTTTTGCTGAGGAAGACCGGCTCTGAGCTAACATCTATTGCCAATCCTCCTCCTTCTTTTTTTCCCCCAAAGCCCCAGTAGATAGTTGTATGTCATAGTTGCACATCCTTCCAGTTGCTGTATGTGGGATGCGGCCTCAGCATGGCCGGAGAAGTGGCGCGTTGGTGCGCGCCCGGGATACGAACCCGGGTTGCCAGTAGCGGAGCGCGTGCAATTAACCGCTAAGCCACGGGCCGGCCCAGGGTTTATTTTCTTAAGATTTTTGTTTTGACACCAACCCCTTGCCCTTTTGTTCCTTGTAGGTTTGACCGAATTGCACACACAAAGGAGACAATGCTGTCTGATGGTTTGAACACGCTTGCCTACCAGGTGTTGGACGTACAGAGATACCCGTTGTATACCAAAATCACAGTGGACATCGGGACACCAAGCTAGCATTTTGATACACTAATAAGAGACCTGAAAATGGCCAGGGACCTCTGCCGTGTGTCTCTGCCAGTCTGCTGGGCTGGTCCCTCTCATTCTTCCCCATCAGAGTGATAGGGCTCCTCTCTCAGCTCATCACTCAGATGTCTTTCCAGATGACCAGGACGAGCGGGATATTTTGCCCCCAACTTGGCTTGGCACGTGACTTCTTAGCTCTGCGAGGTGTTTGTAAGTGTAGGAACCATCAGCCTTTGGGGGGTTCTCGGCATGTTCACAGTCTCCCCAAAGAATCAGAGCTGTACACAGCCCGAAATTGGGTGACTGTGGGACTCATTCCTGGTGGTAAACTGCTCATTTATTGTGAAATAAGTAAGAATTTTGCTTTAAATTGTGATATTCTCACTACTTTATGAAAAGTTGGAGAGTGCTGCTGAAATTGGATTGGTGTGATGTTTTTTGGTTGTCGTATTTTAACAGAAAAACACACGATTGCAACCAATCTCATTTTACCCCCTCCCCTACCTTCTTTCAGTGGTATGCAACTGTTATAATCACGGAATCGCTGTGTGTGTATGTGTCTTTTCTTAGCAAAAGAATCTTAAAACTTGAGCCTTGGACCTTTTGCCCTGCTAACGTGTGAATTCCAGGGCAAATTTGGCCATCAGAGCATAAGCCTTGGGTGTTCTCACAGTCAGTGGCCTTTCTCCACATTGTCTGATTTCTGAATGTAAAGACTTTTTTTAAATAGCAGTTTGTAGTATTTTAAAGAAAGAACAAATCAGGTTCTAATTATGATCTAGCTTGATTTTGTGTTGATCCAGATTTACATAGCTGTTTAGTGTTAAGTCCTGGCAAGTTGTTGTCCTGAGCATGCTATGTAAACTTGAATTTCCTATGTATTTTTATTGTGGTGTTTTAAATGTGGGGAGGGGACTGAGCTATTTTTAGGGGAAAAAATAATGTATGCTGTAGTGGCCACTAACCGGCCTCTGATTTAGCTGGCAGGCTAGGTTTTGTGACAAGCAAAATCTCCTTTGGCCCTTTGATGAGGGCAAGGCCTCCCGTCAGGTCAGCGTTACCCTGCCGGACCTCTGGGGGACACAGGGGCCTCAGCCTGCCGGGCAGAGCTCCCTACCTCCCCATCCACCCCAGGCAGGCAGGATGGAGGGGACTGCCACCTCCCCAGACTGACCCTGGGACCTCTCGTCAGGGCCCTAGGCAGCAGGGTTGGAAGTGAGAGCCATCAGGTTGTTTACTGGCCCTCGGCCTGGGGAGGTGGAGGGATCCTCATTCTGGCCCCCTGGAGTCTGGGGCCCCTCACTTGGCTCTCCTGCCTGGCCCACCTTGCAGGACCGGTTCTCTTCCTTCTCCCCTTCCCCCTTCCCCCTTTTGGTTCCTTGGCCTCTTGCCTGTTCCCTAAAACTTGCCTGTGGCACTGAGGGTCACAAAGACTATTCATTCTCCAGCACGAATGTGCCTTTTAATTAGAGATCTAGAAAGGAGTTCAGCTGAACACCCCTGCACTCCCCACAACCACTCTGTACCTGAAGCCTCCCATCCCCCTCAGGTTTTCAGCAGGTGCTCCACTCCAGGGAGGCTGCCCCACAGGTGCCATCCCCAAACCCCGCTCTGCGGGGAGAGGTTTAGCCTGCCAGGGGTGAGGTGCACAGGCTGGTTCTTAGCCCTGGCCCCTTGCCGGCTGCAGCCTGCGTAAGGACAGAAGATTCGGCTGTCTGATCCAGCCGAAGATTTCAGCTGGTGGCCGCCCAGACCCCGCCACTGCCCTCCTGGGAACCAGGCGTCAGCCTGGATGGAGGCTGAGCTGCTGCCTGGCCCCAGTGTCACCTGTGCCTTTATCGCTCTGAGTGTCTCAGATCCTAACTTGGTTCTTTTTCCAGAAGCCTTTGTATTGGTTAAAAATTAGTTTCTACTGCAGAAGCAGCTGGGCTATGCAAAGAGTATTCCTTCTGTCAGTTGCCCACTCCTTAATAGCGATGTGAATAAAACTAAGAAAAATCTCCCTGGGAGGGAGTTTTGGGAAATGCAAAGAATGAAGGCCTCTGTTTCTGTCCCCAGATCCTGACTTTTCCAAAGTGCCTTAAAAGAAAGGAGACAGATTCCCTAGGTGGTAACTTCTTTGTTACTTACTTTACTCTTGAAAGAAGATTCTGACTTGTTTTTCTTTTTTCTTTTCCTGTTACATTTTTCTTCATGTTCCATTGGAATAGATAAGCGTGCGGTTCCTTCTCAGGACCAAGGGAAGTCCTGCTTCACAGATTTGCCATTTGCTGACCGTGTGGTGCTCTCATGGGGCCACCTGGGCCCACGCTGGGGCCTGGACGCCTGCCTGGCTCATGAGATGCTACAGGTCCTGTTCCCGCCCCGGGCAGCGCCGGGAGCATTTCCTTTACTTGGAAGTTGTCACCAAGAAGTGGGCCTGTGCTGTGCCTTTCTCTGTTTCTCTCCGTCCAGTTGCTGGTGCCCCTGTCAAGTGGCTTTTGGGAATGAGCAGAGGGCAGAGGTGGCACAGGGGGGTAAAGGAGATGCTGGTGCTGGCGCAGCCTGGCGGGTGCTCTCTGGCCTCGGGGCTGGGCACAGCCAGGATGGCTGCCTTCCTCTCCTTGAGACCTGTTGTGCTGTGTATTTTGATTTCCCGTGTATGCAAATGTATGTATTTACGATTGTAAGGAGGGGAGATGTCTGACCTTAGTGTTCAAAACAGAACTGTATTTTTGCCTTTAAAATCCAGTCATATAACTGGAAGGTGAATAAATGGCCCTATCTTTGTAACCGCACGTGGTTTCTCTTCTGATTTACGGGGTTTGGGCTCTCCCGGAGCTGGAGGGCAGTGATGGGGCTGCCTGCGGGGAGGATCTGAAGAGAGCAGAGGTCTGCCTTTGGGCCTGCCTCGCTCAGGGAGTGTAATGGTGATGGTGCGGGGGTGGGAGGTTGTGGGGGGGATTGGGAGGTGGTATCTCACCTGGCTTTGCTCCATGCTTCTCCCTGGGATCAGCCATTTCCTCATCTGGCCCTGATTTTCTCATCTATAACATGGAGATAATAACACATTGAGCCTTTTTCTTTTTCTTTGGTGAGGAAGATTGGCCCTGAGCTAACTAACACCTGTTGCCAATCTTCCTCTTTTTGCTGAGGGAGATTAGCCCTGAGATAGCATCTGTGCCCATCTTCCTCTGTTTTGTATGTGGGACGCCTGCCACAGCATGGCTTGATGAGTGGCGTGTAGGTCCACACCCGGGATCTGGGCCCACAAACCCCGGGCTGCTGAAGCAGAGCACACACACTTAACCACTGCACCACCGGCCAGCCCTGCAAATCGAGCCTTTTGAGGCTTAAAAGGGATGGTGTCACCTGACATTACACAATGTTATAAACCAATATGACCTCAATAAAATAATTAAATTACAGAAAGGAAAGAGAGGATGTATCTAAACCTGACACACCCACAGTGCTCACTGCCTGGTGGCCTGTGCCACCTCAAAGAACCTTCCCGAGCTGTCCTCTGGCCACATTCTGCTATTTTCAACAGATGCCAGGGTCCTTCTGAGCTTGTTCTCAGAGCCATTTACACAAGGTGTTCACAGTGTAACTTACATGGTATTATCCAAAATAAGTTTTCTTGTCAGCCCCAGGAAATTTAACCAGATAATACTAAAGGGTCTTAGTTGTGACCCAAGGACTTGAGACAGTAGGTCCCCCAGGCGCCCTCTCCTCCTCAGTGCCCCTGGGGTCAGGCACCAGCAGCTGTGGGCCACCTCTTCCATGCTGGTTGGATTGAATAGGCATCTGGAAGAAATGGGCCAGAGGAAACAGTGGGCAGGAGAGGTCGCCCCTGCTGTCCCGGCTCAGAGAGCTGCAGGCCCTGCTAGGATGGGGCTGCGAATGTGGGACCAGTCGGGAAACAGGAGCAGGAAGGGCAGCCCCTGGTAGCCCCCCCAGGGCCATCTGGCTGTCTCTACCCATCCTTGGGGCTGCTGGAAGGCTCCCTAGTGGCCTCAGGCTTGAGCAGAGGTGGCCTGGGGCTCAGATCTGACCTTCGAACAGGACTCTGGTCCTTTGGACAAGGGCACTGTGAGCTGTAGGGTCTGGGTTAAGTGGAGCCCCCTTCCTTCCCCAAAGATGCACCCATCTGCACAGCTGCATACACACAAACATGGGCAACACACTGACACGTGCCCATGAGGCGCCGGAATGCCTGGGTTCTAATCCTGCCGCTGCCTCGTCCTAGTTCTATGACCTTGAGCAAATGACTTAGCCTCTCTGTGCCTTAGTTTGTTTGTCTGTGTAATGGGCATAAAAGTGCCTGTTTCATATTCATTATGAAGATCAAGTGAGTTAATACTTATAAACACTTAGAACATGCCTGGCTCATAATAAGCATTATATGTGTTACAAATGTTAGTTAAATTTTTTAAAATGCATCTGAGCACACGTGCTGACATGCACATACAGACTGCTGTGCATGTATTACCAACGTAGACACAGGCACATGCCAGGTGCACTGGGGATCCCCATTTTTCCTCTTCTAGGGCACATGTCTGGGGCTTAACTATGTGGCTGTTGGGTGGGTGAGCCTCAGGGTAAGTAACCACTCCTTCTGAGATACCCCGGACTTCACCGGTGGTGTTTCCCCACCACTTCCCCGCCTCACCTGAGCGAAGGTGTTTGAGATGTCTGCCTTGGGGACGGAGGGGACTAGAACCCCGCTGGTGGGCTCCAAGGGGGCGGGAAGGGAAGAAAGTAGGAGGAAGGGGTCCAAGGATGGGCTCCTGGGGTTGGCCATTTCCTTGAGAAGGGCTGTCTCTAATCTCTCCCACTGCACACGGGACCCAGACCAAGTCTGAGCCAGCCAGAGCCCAGAAGTCATGAGTGTGGATTTAATGGGCACCAGACCCTCCCACTTTTGTCCTCTTTTCCATGGGAGAATGTGATCTGGCTGCCAAATCACTGACCCACAGGTGTCCTTGGGAGGCACGGCTGTGCTGCCCAGGTAGGTGGGTGCAGGTGGAGGTATGTGAGTGGAGCCTCCCCAGACAGGAGTGTCTGCTACTCGTGACATAGGGAGGCTGTGTGTGGTGAAGGTGGGGGAGAGGTCGAGGAAGTGAGAAGATGACAGAGTTCTAGGTGTTACCAAGTTTCTACCACACTCCCAGGATCCCCTCCTCTTCTTTCTTCCAGGAGGTAGAGGTTCAGACATTCCTAGGGGCCCATTGCTTCTTAGAACTGGAACTTCTTACACCATCAGGAAATGAGGTTGGTCTGGCTGAGCTGGTTGTGCCAGCCAAGCCTCATTTCCTTCTCTGGCAGAGTCCCCGGGCAGGGTATGTGGCTGCTGCCTTCCTCTGGGCTCTGGGCCTATACCCAGGCTGCGAGGCAGAAGAACCTGCAGGTCATAGTTGTCACGGGGAGTGATAGAACGGAAGCCAGAAGACCGCGGCACTCCGAGGACAGCTGTACTTGAGCAAGGTGTGTGCCAGGTCACCAGGCAGGGGGCCAGGGAAGATGGCCAGGAAGAAGCCATACAAACAAGGATCGTTACTTCTGGTTCTCTCTGCCTTCCTACTTGCTGTGTGACTCTAGGCAAGTCGATTTCCCTCTCTGAGCCTGGGTTTGCTCTTCTGTTTTATGACTTGCTCTCAGAATCCACTCCTGGGCTCCCCATAGTTCTGTCCTTCTCCCAGCAGGAAGTGCCTGGTCTTGGTTTCCTCTTGTTCCTGAGTCTAACCCTTCCTATCACCTTGAAGGAAGTCCCTTTATCTCTGAGTCTTATTTTGTAAAAATAGCAGGATCACCCCTGCCTGCCCTCCCCGCTGAGCCTTGAGCAGCCCGGGAGAAACTGCTAGAGCTCTACCTCGCGGGGGAGGGCTGCGATGTTGTTGCCCATGGTCTCCCTCTTCCGCCTGAGGCCCCTCCAGGCTC